CAGCCAACTTGATGTCCGTGGGGCCTGGAATAACCAAAAGATGTTGTGCCCCTGACCGTAGTTCTCTTGGGGGAACATATGGGGAAAGGCGGTCCCTTAGGTAAGCTGGACCCTGGCCATCAAGTGCTTTATAGGTAAGATTTGAAGCAAATCCAGTATGCTATAGGCAGCCAGTGCAGTGCCTTCAGCTCCGGCTGGATGTGGTCCCACCTAGTGAGACCCATCAACAGCCTAGCTGCTGCATTCTGCACTAGCTGCAGCTTCCGGATTTGCAACAGAGGCAGCCCCATGTACAGAGCGTTACAGTAGTCCAGCCTCGAGGTAACTGTCGCATGGATCACTGTGGCCAAGTAAGGGGACCAACTGCTGCGCCAGCCGAAGATGGTAAAAGGCTTACTTGACAGTGGTTGCCACCTGGGCCTCCATCGTCAAAGAGGAGTCCAGAAGCACTCCCAAACTCCTAACCCTCGATACCGGCACCAAAGGCGCCCCATCGAAGGCTGGGAGGGAGAGCCCCAACCCCGAACCAACCTGACTTAGGCCCAGGACCTCCGTCTTTGCAGGTTTTAGTTTCAGCCGGCTCAGTCTGAACCAACCAGCCACAGCTTGCAATGCCCAATGGAGGTCATCTGGGTCGGAGTTCGACTGGCCACCCAGCATCAGATAGAGCTGGGTGTCATCTGCATATTAATGACGCCCAAGCCCATAGCTCCGGGCAATCTGCGCAAGGGGGCGCATATAGATGTTAAATAACATCGGGGACAGTACCGCCCCCTGAGGCACCCCACACTCAAGAGGGTGCCTCCAGGACCGCTGATCCCCTATCGCCACCCTTTGTCCCCGACCTTGAAGGAAAGAGGCCAACCATTGAAGGGCAAGCCCCTGAATCCCCACGTTGGGTTGCTTCTCAAACTCTATGTAGATTGACCACAACTGACAGCTGCTGACTTCTGACTTCAAACTGAACACTCTGCCTTCTCTCTCTCTCTCCACACACACACCTCCTAGCTCGGTCCACACACTCTCAGTCACCAACCAATCACCTCACTCACTCATCTCCCTCTTTCACCCCCTTATTCTTTTGACACTTACCAGCTATTTAAAGAAACACACACATATAATTGAAATCATTACAGGTTGTATTAAATAATTCCATTCTTTGTTGCTTTTTGTAACTTTGCAGTATATTAATTGCAAAGTAGGAAAGGCTCTATTCAGATGTCATCTGAAACCATGGTTTAATTAAACCAACTATGGCCGCGGTCACATGGAGCATTAGGCATGCTAGAGAGACGGAAGATAGGCGGATTTTCCGGGCGCGATCTCACCGCCATATCTGGGAAGCGTAGTGCTCCCGTGGCAAACTGGAGGTTTCCTGCCGAAAATGTGTGGTTAAAAACTAATACCTCGGAGGTACTCGTTTCCGGTAACTGCGGGGCAAGGGCGGGCGTCTGATCGTGTTTCCGGTGGTAGTTCCGGCGCCCGCCCATGCCCCCTCGTATAAAGGGTTTTTTTAAAAACTGTCCATGGGATGCGCACAAGCACCCAAGGGGGCATGCGCAAACTTTGGTGTCCAGAGAAAAAAATACCCGTTTGCCGCACCGCTTCTTTGCCACGGCACAGGATTGTGGTGTGCTCGGCACCTCCCCCCTACCACGGGACCTCCATGGGACCTCCACGGTACGTCTGCTGGCGCAACCGCATGTTATTTTGCCCCGTGCCAAACAGCCACGCTCCCCCCCCGCATTTTCCTGCCCATGTGCCCGCGGCCTATTATTAATGTGATTGTCTGAATGTAAGCTACTCTGTGAACTCTGGTTGTCACAGGCCCCGTTCACATGGAGAATTTGCCCAGTGAGAGGGATGCCTTGCCTACGTATTAAATGGGCGCGATCATACCTCAACATCTGGGAAGCGTGGCGCTCCCGTCTCCAACCCGTAACTTCAGCCCCAAAAAACGGAGTTAAAAGATACTGGGAACCATGCAGTATCTTCCGGAAAAGGCGCAGCGCGTGCGGGCGTCTGATCAGGAAGTGCTTGTAGCCCATCGCAGCCGGTGCCCGTCGGCATCCCACACATGCGCACAAATGTGTCACTGCCATTTTGCCTCACTTCGTGTGATCGGCTGCCAAAGGCCTGAGCACGGAGCCTCAGGGAACGGTCTGATCTTGCTACCGCTCCATTTTGCTCTAGCTCTAAAATCCTCCCTTCCCCTGTGGATTATCCCGCTCGTGTGACCGGGACCACAGTTTGTCAAACTAAGGTCTGAAACCAAGGTTTAATTTTGGTTTATTAACCACAGGTAGTCTTCACTATGATTTCTCATGCTTAATCTTTGTTACCTGGCCCTGCTCTCATGCATGCACCTGCTTCAGAGCTGACTGGTAAGAGCTTCAATGAAACCAGCATTTGTCAAGACAAACCAGGATTTAAGTGATCACCTATGAGCCAAATCTTGGTATTACAAAGTGACCATAGTTAAAATAAACCACGGTTTTGCCTTATGTCTGAACTGAGCCTAATACTCATGAAGAAAATGAAAGTATTATTTAACAGCCAAAAATGAGCAGTACACAAAGGAACAGCTAAAACAATTAAAGGAAGGAAGCTCGTATTGCCAGGTTTCAAGCAAAATTCAGTAGCATATGGAACAGTACTGAGAGGATTGGGAGACAAGACAGCTATTATTTGTTTTCCTTCAGGTCCCTTGTCCACTCCTCCCATATCTGCTATGTGGCACATCTGGAGTTCAGCATGTTGTGGCACATGAGAGAGTGAAGCAGATGACAAAATTGACTGGTTGGGAGAAACTGTGACTGACTTGGCTTTCAATTAAGAAGCAAATTTGAAGGGGGGAAAGGAAATTGCCAGGCTGCAACCTGACAACTGTAAGAGAGGTCCCAATGCTATCTGGAGATAAAGAAGGAACAGACAATGTTCAACAGAGAGGAACTGGCAGTGGGAAAGATTAGTTTATGAATTAATCCGGTAAGCCTGTAGTAGGGTTGCCAGCTTTTAAACCTGACCACGGCCCATAGGTATCCATCGACAATTATCAGGTGATCACTTTTAGCTTCATGTGATAGAATTATAGGGTTGCCAATTCCAGCTTGGGGAAATTCCTGGAGAATTGGTGGTGTTGCCTGGGAAGGTGGAAATTGAGGAGGAAGCTCAGAAAGGAGTGTGATGCTATACAGTTTACCCTTAAGAGCTGCCATTACCTCCAGGTGAACTATCTCTGTCATCTGGAGATTGTAATTTCAGGAGAACTCCAAGATTGGAAGGTTGGTAAGTCTAACACAACCTTTGTTAAAAGTAAGTTTTGGCATAGGCCATGATATTTGGGCAGTTGGTAACCCTAACCTGGGACCAAGTGTAGGGTTGCTTGGTCTCCCACGGTTGTGGGAGACCTCCTGCCAACACTTCCTGACTCCCACTGACTCTTGGTAGGCCAGCGGGAGAGAAAAAAGGCGGGGAGAGTCACTGATATGCAGGGGTCTTTTGGGGCCAGAGTGCACCTGTGCATTGCTCTGGGAGCCCAAGAGCTGGCAAAATGGTGGTGGCAGCAAGCCCCGCCCCCAGCTCCCCACGCAACGGCCTGTTGCCAGTCTTCCGGGGCCCGCGCCAGAGGGCTGCGGCCCCGGGGAGGCCAGAGGAGGCCTGTTGCCGCCTCCCCGGGGCCTGCATCGGAGTGCTGTGGCCCCGAGGAGGCTGGAGGAGGCCCGTTGCTGCATCCCTGGGCCAGCGCCAGAGCGCTGCGGCCCGGGGGAGGCCAGAAAACGTGGGGTAAGTGAGGGATCTGCGGGGGTGGTGGAGGCTTGATTGGAGGAGTGGGGGGTAAGAGAGCCTCCCCCTTCCCCCATCTCTTTGTCCTCTTTCTTTCTCTCCTTTCCTTCCCCTTTCCTTTTCTTTCCCTCCTTTTGTTTCTCTTTCTCTTTTTCTTCCTCTCTTTTCCTTCTTCTTTCCTTCTCTCTCTTTTTTTTTTAGAAAGTTCTCACTTTCTGCGATCTCTCTCTCTCTCTCTCTCTCTCTCTCTCTCTCTCTCTCTCTCTCTCTCCCTCCCTCTCCCTCCCTCTCCCTCTCCCTCTCCCTCTCCCTCTCTCTCTCTCTCTCTCTCTCTCTCTCTCTCTCTCTCTCTCCTTTCCTCTTTCCTCCTTCTGCGGCCCAACTCCAGTGAGAAGGGGTTTAAACTGTAAACACTTTCTCTCTTTGCTCCCCCCCCCCAGCTGGGGAAGAGAAGGGGAGGCTTTTGAAGATGCCTTGCCCCCCTTTTGCTTCCCCTTCTGACATCACTTCCTATTATGTCAGGGGGCGTTGCATATGCTAATGAGCTATTATGCTAATAGCCTAGTAGTTCATTAGCATACCATATGCTAATGAGCTCCTGCAGGTCTTTTTCTACGAAATATCCCCTGCTGATATGACAGCATAATGTTTTTTCCAGGGTGAGACCAGAAGTGATGTCACACTGCTCTAGACTTCCCTGTAAAATTTATGGTAAAAGCAAACATTTTCTGCTGAATCCTAGAGCGCTGGGACAACACTTCCAGGTTTGTCATCATGTTGACAGCTCCCCACCCCAGTCTCTTGCTGTGTGCCAGCCATCACCTGGCAATCCTAACCAAGTGTGAGACGTTGATAAGTAACCAATAGGTTTCTTTGTGTTTCACTTATAATTCCCTGATCCATGCAGTTTAACTCCAAACACTGATACAAAAAAATTGTGTTTGCTAGTATCCTTTTTACAGAACTTCCTTTACCCTATTTATTATTTAGTTTCTATTTCTTTTTGATTTCCGTCTTTGGTTTCTATAACAGCTTGATTTCTGGTAGTATTACAGATGTGCTTTGTAATTTCATAATAATTAATGTTTACATTTTTACCTCCAGGTTAAAGGTCTTAAGTCTTCAGGTAATTTGTAACACCCTAAAATCTTTGTAAGTGTTGTTTTTTTAAAAAAAATACTGAGTTTTGCTTGTTTGTTTTTTCTTCTTCTCAGATGAACGGGACAAAGTACAAAAGAAAACCTTCACAAAATGGATAAACCAGCACCTTCTGAAGGTCAGTTTATTCGCACACATCTTCTTTAGTATTGACTTTCGGAATTACAGCATCTGCCACTAGGTGCTAGTCTCTTGATAGAGAAATTGTGCTTGATCTTCCTGATGCTATCAAATAAATGGCTTTAAACTCCTTACAGTCTAATTCTAAATGTTTGCAAGTCTATACATGTTCAGATAAATTGTTACTGGGTTTTAGAGCTAAGGCCCTAATCATTCAAAGCAGCTCTATGATTTGAATTTGATTCACATTATTTATTTATATATTTGATTTTTCCCCTGCCCTCCCCGCCGAGGCAGGCTCAGGGCGGCTTATATAGGAAAACAATAGATAAAACAACAATATAAATATCAATATAAAAGACATGATAGAGTATTAAAACCATTAACATAACAATGGCAATACGGCTGTGGTAAAGTGCATATAGAGACATACATTCAGCGGTACATCCACTCTCGGCGGGCTCAGGTTGGCAATAAAATTGGCACACATGATGAAATGCAGCTCCTTACCTAAATGCCTGGTGGAAGAGCTCTATTTTCATGGCCCTGTGGAACTGTGAAGGGTCCCGCAGGGCCCTGATCTTGTCTGGAAGCTCAAAACGCCCTGGTCCTGGTCAATACCAGCTTGGCGTCCTTAGAACCAAGGGGGGCCAAACGATTTTGCGACCCTGAACGTAGTGCTCTCTGGGGAACATATGGGGAAAGACGGTCCCTCAGGTAGGTAGGTCCCTGGCCATATAGGGCTTTAAAGGTCAAGACCAGCACCTTGAAGCAAATCTGGTATGCTATTGGCAGCCAGTGCAATGCCTTTCGCACAGGCTGGATGTGCTCCTGCATAGGGAGACCCATCAACAGCCTGGCTGCTGCATTTTGCACCAGCTGCAGCTTCTGGAGTTGCACCAAGGGCAGCCCCATGTAGAGAGCATTGCAGTAATCCAACCTTGTGGTGACCATTGCATGGATCACTGTTGCCAGATCATTGCATTCAAGGAAGAGAACCAACTGCCTAATCAGCCGGAGATGGTAGAAGGCTGCTTTGGCAGTGGCTGCTACCTGGGCCTCCATGATTAAGGAGGCATCCAGGAGCACTCCCAAACTCCTGACCCTCGGCGCTGGCACCAACGGTGCCCCATCGAAGGCTGGTAGTGGGATCCCTATCCCCGATCCGCTCCGACTCAGGCACAGGATCTCCGTCTTCGTCGGATTCAATTTCAATCAGCTCAGTCTAAGCCAACCAGCCACATCCTGTAACGCCTGGTCCAGGTCTTCCGGGGTAGAGTCAGACTGACTGCCCAACAACAGATATAGCTGAGTGTCATCCGCATATTGGTGACACCCTAGCCCATGCCTCCCAGCAATCTGGGCAAGGGGGCGCATGTAGAGATTGAATAGCATTGGGGAAAGCACCGCCCCTTGAGGCACTCTACAGATTAGCGGGTGCCTTTGAGACAGCAGCTCCCCGAGAGCCACCCTTTGTTCCCGACCCTGGAGAAAGGAGACGAGCCATTGCAAGGCAAGCCCCTGAATCCCCATGTTATCGAGGCGGTGGGTCAGTAGCTGGTGGTCGACCGTGTCGAACGCCATTGACAAGTCCAACAACACCACCGCCATCCCGCCACGGTCCAGATGCCTCCGGAGGTCGTCTGTGAGGGCAACCAGTGTCGTCTCCATCCCATGGCCTGGGTGGAAGCTGGACTGGAAGGGATCTAGCATGGAAGTGTCATCCATAAAGCTCTGCAACTGCATCGCCACCGCCCTCTCAATTAATTTGCCCAAATAGGGTAAATTGGAAACTGGCCAATAGTTTGCCAATTCGGCTGGATCCAGAGATGGTTTTTTTAGGAGAGGGCAGACCATCGCTTCCTTGAGAGCCCCCAGGAACAGCCCCTCAGAGAGGGACTTGTTAATAATATCTCTGAGGGCACCTCGAAGCCCCTCACAGCTAGTTTTAATTAGCCATGAAGGGTCAAGGTCAAGGCTGCACGTGGTTGGGCGTACTGTCGAGATCTATATGTCGACTTCCTCTGGATTGAGTGTACTGAAATAATCCAAAATCGGACTAGAAGTGCATGGAGCCTCGAGTTCACTCACTGTCTCAACTGTGGCAGGGAGGTCACAGCAAAGCGATAAGATTTTATCTGCAAATTAGCTCGCAAAAGCCTCACAGCCAGTGTCCAATTCCCTAGTGTTTAGTCTGCCCTGTGACTGTTAAAGACCAAATCGTTCTATACAATTGGGCCGGGCGTGAGCTCGCAGACGCAATCGTGGCTGCGTAGAACTCCCTCTTTGTGGCTTTGACTGCCATTTCACAGGACACATCGAGCCAGTTTACACCTGCAGGCACATCATTTGATTACCCATTGCTTGGTATCTTATGTATGAACTGGCCCCATTGAAAAGTTATTTGTTGGAGACTGTCTTGCTATTTATTGATTGATTAAATGTCAACAGTGTGCATGTCACTTTACAGCTAAGAAGTAGAGTCCTGCCCCCAAGGTAATTACAGTCTAAAATTTGTGACAAGGACAGAGTAGTGGGATGAACTAGGGAAGAATATGCATTCATTCAAGTTCCATATACCTAGGCTGTGTTTCACGAGTGAAAGGGGTCTAAGGGTCTAATGGAAAAGGTGGGTGCAACTGAGGAGTTTGTCTGTGGTCCTTCAACTGTGATGGCTTGTCTGCACATGGAGAGAACTGCTTGATACAACAGTGACAGAATATTGAAATTCCATGCTTAACTCAATTTATAATAAATAGATTTAAAAAAATGGGAGTGAGCTTTTCCCAGTGGTGTCCACTTCTTAATCTCTCTGTATATTAAAAAGCTTTGTTGAATAGCCTATCATTTATATCAAAGGTAATTGGATATGAACTAACTGGACTGCCGCTTCAGAAATTTATATATTAAAGCCTACAATACTTTAAGTATTGTTTACTGGCCATTTGTTTGAATATTAACATCTGTTGTTGAGTTTTATATTGAAGAAGTGAAATACTTTTCTGCTTGATTGTTGTGGAATGTGCTTTCCTTACAAAACACAGACAGCAGCTTCATTGGACATTCCTTTTTCTATCAGTATGTTACCACTTCTGGTGCATTGAATTGTTCAATAAGTACTTCATGAAAAACCACCCCGAATATAGGTCATAAACCCTGTAGTAGGGAGTTCTTTGTAAGACCCCAGGCCCAACTCTTCTCCCCGGCAACTAAGTGTATGTAACAACTTCTGGTCCTGGATGGCTCACCACTCATGGCCTAATCCTCACTGATAGATACACCTAGGCCCCGGTCACACGGGATGATTTGCCCCGCGAAGCGGACAAGTTGCAAGCGCATCAAATGGGCGCGATCAGATGTCAACGCGGATCAAAAAGGTACTAGGGGAAATGTAGTACCTACCGGAAGATCCACAGCAAGGCCGGGCGTGGGATTGCGGACATGCTGGCAGCCAGTGTTATTCGAGGGACTGCCGGACTGCGCATGCGTGACTGCCGGACTGCGCATGCGCACGAATACTCCAGCAGCCTTGGCTCGCCCGTCTTTGCCTCGCTTTCCCCGGCCTTGTGATCACGCTGGACAGAATATGCGTGGGGGCTCGGGGGAAGCATCTGATCCCAATGCCGCGCTTTCCTTTGGTGCGGCTCTAAGAAGCTGCACTTCCGGTGCGGCTTTTTTCGCCGGTGTGACCGGGACCCTAGTCATCTCAAAGGGCCTGGATCATAGAATCATAGAATGTTAGAGTTGGAAGGGCCCTTGTAGGTCATCTAGTACAACCCCCTGCACTCTGCAGGATCATAGCCTAAAGATAGCCCTACAACATACCCGAAAGATGGTCGTCCAGCCTCTGCTTGAAAACATCCAGCAAAGGAGCATACACCACTTCCCGAGGCAGTCTGATGAAGATGCATTGATGAAGTCTAATAAACTCTGATGAAGATTGCATTGTGGATGTGCCCAGTTGTGCCTCCATAACATGAAAGAGCATAAGAACATAAGAGAAGCCAATATTGGATCAGGCCATTGGCCTATCTAGTTCAACACTCTGTCACACAGTGGCCAAAAATACTAGGTGCCATCAGGAGTTCCACCAGTGGGGCCAGGACACTCGAAGCCCTCCCACTGTTGCCCCCCCCCAAGCACCAAGAATACAGAGTATCACTTGCCCCAGCCTGAGAGTTCCTATCTGTACCTTGTGGCTAATAGCCAATGATGGACTTCTGCTCCATATGGTTATCTAATTCCTTCTTGAAGCCATCCATGCTTGTAGCCACCACCACCACCTGTGGCAGTGAATTCCATGTGTTAATCACTCTTTGGGTGAAGAAGAGCCCTAACCCTGTGTCATGGTGTCATCAGGCATAATGTGTAGCTAGTGTGTTAATCTTTCTATGCTTTTATTGATGTAGAGTGCTGATTTGTCAGTCTTATGGCTGCCATGGGTGCAAGGAGACTCCTAGGAAACAATGCTGAGTCTTTGAGGTGTAGTGGTTAATTTTGGTGTAGTGGTTAAGTGTGTGGATTCTAATCTGGGAGAACCGGGTTTGATTTCCCACTCCTCCATTTGCACCTGCTGGATGACCTTGGGCAAGCCATAGTTCTGACACAGCTGTTCTTGAGAAGAGCAGTTTCTGTCAGAGCTCTCTCAGCCCCACCTACCTCACAGGGTGTCTGTTGTGGGGAGGGGAAGGGAAAGGAGTTTGTAAACCGCTCTGAGACCCCTTTGGGTAGTGAAGTGCGGGATATAAATCCAATTTCCTCCTCCTCCTCCTTCTTCTTCTAACTTTCTTTGATAATCAGTTCTTGGTGGCTGCATTCTTGCAGATGAATCATAGAATGTTAGAGTTGGAAGGGACCTTGCAGGTCATCTAGTCCAACCCCCTGCACTCTGCAGGAGCGTAGCCGAAAGATAGCCCTACAACATATCCGAAAGATGGTCATCCAGCCTCCGCTTGAAAACGTCCAGTGAAGGAGCATCTACCACTTCCCGAGGCAGTC